TATCGTCTTCTGGCAGTCAGCACGTAGCAGCTCAACAACGGCTGCTGAAGATCGATGAAACGATGATGAAGGTACCAATCTACAGTGCAGTCGCTACCCGTTCTCAAAGGAGGAGGGAGTCAGCGCGATGCCATTATAGCACGCCAGAAAAGGCTCAACGGGAACGACACCGCAGTGGGAGTGTACAGTCAGAAATTGGAACATATCTTCACTCAGAGGGAAAGAGCAGGAGCTAGTTGATGAGGCGTCTAGGAACAACTCGGCATAATTGCACTCTCGTCAGCGAAGCACCAATGCTTTGGAACCCTGAACCTTTGTGGGTGGAAGCTATTCTATAGCTGTCGATATCACGACGCGCGCTTAGGCCGGCGTTGGTGTTCTGTTAGAACCCAACCTGGCTGATAGAATCATTGGTGCTATCATTTGTGGGTGGTAATCCTACAACTGAAGCTACAAATGCTAAAATGTTGACCTAGTCACAGGTCTATGGCCCAATCTGGAGGGAGAATATGAGACCTTCCTTGAGGAAGTGCAGTGTGCTCTGTCCGAAGTGCCGAATACAGAGTCTCTCATACTGATGGGTGATTTTGATGCGCATGTTAGAGCAGATGCTTAAAAGTGGAACGGGTGATTGAAAACGGCCCTAGCGACCTCTTCAATAACGGTATGCAGCTATAGCAGTTTTATGCAAAGAACGAAATGTATGTTATGAACACGTTCTTCGAGCATCGAAGTATGCTCCGGTGTACCTGGTACAGGTAAGCTTTTGCACAGAGGTCGATGATCGATTTGATAATCGTATCGTGTGACATACGACGCTCTGTAACGGATATTCACGTTAACAGAGGCACAGAGTTTGCAGAGTTGCCAGTTGATCATCACTTTGTTGTTGACACGTACTTTATGAGAAATGGAGTACCATGCGACATTCTGGTGGCCGAAGCAACCAAAGAAATGAAAAGCATTATCTTCTGTGGATACGAGACCGAAATTTGCAAAAAACACCACACGACGGTTTGATGACATCCTTGCGATGTCCACTAACGCGGAAACGAAGTGGAACCTTTTAAAGGAGGGCTTACTCGGAACTGCCACGGATTGCTAAGGATTCAAACGGATTGGCCTGCTGGCTGGAGGTCAGAAAAAAATTTCCTGCTGGACAGGAGAGATAAAACTGGCGGTCAAACAGAAAAAGAGAAGGCTGCATTCAAAAAATGCTGCAAAGATCCTTCATGCGTTATGTTAAAGCGCGCAACATGGCAGCAAAAGCAGTGGCTAAAGCTAAAACTGATTCTTGAGAGAAGTTCGATGAGGTCTTAGGGTCAAGTTTTTAAACGACAAACAAAGTATTCTGGCAGACCATCTGCCGCCTCCGAGGTGAAAAGAAGGGCGCTCTAAGGGTCTTGATGGACAGGTCTGCAACCCTCTTTCCGAGGGTGGCGATAGTCCTTGTTGATGGAGAAACTACTTTGATGAACTCCTTAACCCTGAGCAACCGCACGAAGATTCGTCTGTAGAGCAGCAGGTAACGGATATTAGTCTTTCTGTAGATGAAATCGCACAAGCTCTGAAAAGGTTGGAAAGTGCAGGGTCTGCTAGAGTCGACGATAGTTGCCGTGAAGTGTTTAAAGCATTGGGCGAACGGGATATATCTGTCAAACTGCAGTGACTACGCGGAGACACCAGTCGACTAGAGAACTGGGGTTGTGGTACCCCTGTTCAGGAGTGCTCCAGTTATCAGGGCATTACTTTATTGAGCCTCCCAGGAATGGTGCCTCTATGCAATGGTGCTAGAAAGGAGGTGCCGCGGAGGAACTAACTCCAAGATATAGGAAGAACGGTATGGTTTCCGGCCCGGTCGAAGCACCTCTGTCCATATATTTGCCCTACGCCAGATTACTGAGAAGTCGTAGGAGTTCGCCCATCTGGTATACACGTGCTTTGTTAACTTAGAGAAAGCTTGTGACCGGATCCTGCACAGCAGTCTGTGGGCGTGCCGCCTGTGATCATAAGGGATCAATGGCCAGTTGCTGCAGGCTATCCAATCACAGTATGTTAATAGCAGATGCTGCATTAGAGTAAATAGCGTTAAGTCGAAACCTTTTAACGCTGGCACTAGTCTCCGCCAATGCTGCGTTTTCCCCTGTCCTGTTTGTGCTGTACATGGATAATGGATAGAATGGTTAGGAGCAGTGAAGGCGATGAGTGTATCGCTGTAGGAGGTTGAGGCGAGAAGGTTGTTGTTTGATGACGGCCTTGTTTTTTTGACACCTGAAACTGACCTACAGCACTCTCTGGAAAGGTTCGCAGCCGAGTGCAACATGGACGGCATGCTTGTGAGAATGTCTAAAAGAAAAAGCCTAGTGCTTTCTTGTTTTCCTCTCCGTTGCTCTCATCAGATAATCGGAGTGACAGTGGAGCAGATGAGGATGTTCAAATTCTTCTAGGTCGTGTTTGCTTGTGATGGAAAGTGGAAAAATAAATTGACCGTATGATTATAACTGACGTGAATTATCCGGAACCGTTGTGACTAAAATATAGCTGAGTTTGAAGACTAAACTCACGGTATTAAAGTCGATCTTCATCCCCATGTTTTCCCACGGTCATGAGTCATGGACCATGACTGAACAGTTTCGTTCCCGGGTACCACCGGGTTGAAACAGGCTCTCTGAGACAAGTCGCTGGCCTTACGCGTTTCGAAATCTCCTTAGTACAGAAATCTGTCGGAGCCTTAGTTTATGGCCGCTGCTTCAGACGGATTTAACATCGGCGATGGTTTGGACATGTGCTGCGAATATCTTCAGTAAGGAAAGCGAAACAACTACTTCTTGCCCAGTTGACGGGCTGAACGCCCATGAGTCAGTTATGATGAACCTAGTCCAAATACATGAAACGAATCTGTTTTAAACTCAAGCCGTATTCTGCTGAAGCTCATACTCTGACACTGGATCTGGAACTTTGGAAACACTGTCTGACGCGTCTGCCTTCGCGACCCTAAAGGCGAAAAATTTGTGGAAGATGATGAAAAAGAAGATAAA